GGCCTCGACCGCCGACACTTCCTCGAGATAATGACGCAGGAGATCCTGGATGCGGCGACGCGATCGCCGGAGTCGTTCGTCGTCGTCGACGGCAACGGCCGCGTCGTCGCCGGCGTGATTAACTTCGATCTGGAGAACGAGCCGCCAACCGCGTTCCTGGGCATGATGGCGCCGATCGAGGCGATGCTGGTGCGGGGGGAGGCGAGCGCAAGACGGGAGATCGCGCGGCGGGGCATCGCGCCGGGCCGCACGCTGCATTGCTTCGTCATGGCGACCGACGTGTCGCTCGGGTTCGCGGAGAACGTGCGGCTGATCGGTCTGATGGAGGAGGAGATGTTGAGGCTGGCGGCGCGAGGCGGGTATGCTGCTGTGCTGACTGTCAACACCAACCGTGTGACGCAGGTGAGCGCGCGCGCGAGAGAGAGAGAAAGAAAGAGAAAGTGAGGAAAGAGTGAGAAAAAGGGAGAAAATTAGTCAGAAAAGGGAAGAAAAGCGAGAGAGAAAAAAAGGTCGATCTTCGGTCGATCGGCAATCGACAGATCGTCGATCGAATTAAATTATTAAATTTCGTATTAAATTCATCAGTAAATTATTGTCCTGTAATATCACAATATTTTTTTATTGAGGAGGCCTGAAGATGCCACGGATCGTGCGTTCACTGTGTCGTTTATAACAGCTGAAAAATTGTATTTATCAATTGGTTTTCCTTTATTTTTCAGGAAATTTGTAAAGCACTTGGATACGAGATGTACGAAATGGTCGAGTTCTGCACCTTTGAGTTTGAGGGTAGGCGGCCATTTGCCGGTGTCAAACCAGGACTCGGAGCCATAGGTGCCGTAAAGTACTTATAAACTAAGGGAACTTGGGACTAGGGCTTGAAACTAGTATTCACTACCAGAAAGGCAACTGTAACTAGAGTGGCCCAGTTTGGGATGTAGAGCCGATATTTATGTTCTACAGGGTTGAGACAAAACATGGTTTCATTTGAAAAGAAAATATGAATACACTATTTACGTATGTGCCTTTTTTACGTTAGTGATATCAGAGCACATATATCATATATGATATGATATATATGAGATACGTGCTCTGGTGATATAATAGAAGCGCATAAGATTGATGCGCCACCTATAAACGATCAATTTGCGCTCGACGATCCCCCACTTTAATAGAATTGTACGTGTGCCATAGTTGTGAAATATTATTTTTTTGCATTTGCAGAGTAGGCTGTATAGCTAGTGGCTGTGATGTGATGGTCAGTACATAGCATTTATAACCTACAGTACCTGTGTATGTACGCCTGGTGCTATATGGGTGTTTTTTACATGATTTTGCCGTCAATGGCCTTTGGCTTTGTAACGTTCTAGTTTTAAATCGTATAACATTTGATAATCGACTTACAGTATTGTGGTGGCACTAGGGGTGACCACACTGGATTTTCCCACGCGCTGTGGTTAGCACGTGGAATTTGTTTGTTGCGGGATCATTTTTCGCTCCTACCGCGAAGGTAGGACGGTGATGCAGTAGCAGGAAAACCCAGAGTGAAATGAACGCAAGTCTTT